GCTGGAACACGCGGCAGATCGCGCTCTGGGACCAGGTGGGTGCTGGGATCCCCGCCGGCATCCCCGCTCTGTGCCAGTATCGGGACGTTTTGGTTAATAAAGTGCTTTTTTTGCCCGTTGTGCAGGAGGAACTGTCCATGCCCCTGATAGAGGAGGAGATCGACGGGCTCTCGGGTCTCCTCTTCCCTTTCTACGACGCCGACACTCACATGCTGTACTTGGCTGGCAAGGTACGGGCTTCGAGGGGCTGCAGCCTCTCCTGGGAAGGCAGAAGGGGCCTCTCAATGCCCTGGGAAAGAGGAAAGAGCCACCCTGGGGACAGAACTGCCCTGAGCCCCGAGCAAAGCACCACGCAGCTCTTCGGCTGCAAACCCCTGGTTCGGAGAGATGCCCACCGCTGCTGCGTGAGCGGGCGGCATCCCGCCGGGTGCCTTTATCCCCCCCTGCGCTTCCCAAGGATGGGATGCTGGGTGTTGTTATCGTGGTCTTTATTCAATCTCGTGTTTGCCCAAGCCATAAACCGTCCCCCTTCCCTGCGCTCGCTCCAGGGTGACGGCAACATTCGGTACTACGAGATCGGCTTGGAAAAGCCCTACCTGAGTTACCTCATGGAGTTCCGCTCCCCGGCCCCACAGAAAGGACTGGGTAAGGATGGCTGTGCCACTGATCCTCCGCTCTGACCACGCAAAAGGTAGATGGGGGAAGGTGCTTAATTAAATATCACTTGTAAATGGGTTTGGCGGGCTCTGGAGCATCCACACAGGGCAGCAGCACTCGCAGGGCAGCGCTTACGTTGCTGTGCTGTCCCTCCTGCCCTCGTGCAGCCGGGCTGGGTCTCGGTGACACCCTTCCTGCTGTCACACTTTACCAGGGGACGTCAGTCAGTGATTCCTGTGATATGTCCTGAATAAAAGCTTGCTCATCCTCTTCCCAGTGTCCCTGCAAATGACCCTGGTGTGGCCCAGGTCTGTGCCCCAGGTCCTCAGGGTTTAATTCAGTAAAGACCTGGGTCTCCGGATGGGGAGCAAAAGACCTTTCAGGATGCTCCATGCCGGGGTGGCAGATGGGTCCCCGCCAGCTGCCTGGGGTTTGCAGCAGCTGGGGGTCACTGTCTGCGCCTCCTCCGCAGGGGTGATGCCGAAGCACGGGCTGGACGTGTCGGCCTGTGAGGTTTTTCGTTTCTACAAGCTCATCACCCTCAAGGGATTGATCGAACCCATCTCGATGATTGTGCCGAGGAGGGTGAGTCCCATGGGGGTGGGCGGTGTCCGGGGGTGTCCGAAGGGGGTCTGGTGTGATGGAGATGCCCCCGCTTGCACTGCTTTGCTGACCAGCCTGATGGCTGGGTCTCTGCACCCGTGTTAGACCTCCCAGGCATGGGATTCCCTGGGGATTAATGGGAATTAATGTTTTAGTTAATGTTTTTAGGAAATGTATTTTATTGCACCTTCCAGTGCCTGGGGGGCTACAAGAAAGCTGGGGGGACTTTTTCCCAAGGGCAGGGAGTGACAGGACAAGGGGTGACGGGTTTAAACTGAAAGAGGGAGGCTGAGATGGGACATCAGGAAGGAATTCTTCCTGCAGAGGGTGAGGAGGCACTGCAACAGCAGATTCACGGAGACTGTTGCTTTTCTTTCCCTGTGTTTGTAGTCAGAAACGTACCAAGAGGACATTTACCCGATGACTCCGGGTACGGAGCCGGCCCTCACGCCGGACGAATGGCTGAGCGGGGTGAACAGAGGTAAAGCCACCGGTGATGCGCTGGGCGGGTGCCACGGAGCCCCAGAGCCAGCCGGGGAGCGGGACAGGGATGCAACCCCTTCCTGATCCCGTCCTGCGCTCTGCCCCGCTCAGATCCCATCCTGGTGTCGCTGAAGGAGGGCTACAAGAAGACATCCAAAATCGTCTTCAAGGCACCGGTGAAGGAGAAGAAGAGCGTGGTGGTTAACGGCATAGACCTGCTGGAGAACGTGCCGCCGCGGACGGAGAACGAGGTAGGGCGGCACGGCCCCGGCACGGGGCACAGGGACAGGATGGGATGGTGGGGAGACACACAATTTCTGGATGCAGCCCGGGAAGCGTCTGCTCTGTGGGTCTCTGCTTGTACTCCCAAATTGGGCACCATCTTTCCCTGTGGCTTGTAGCATCCCGCTCCGCATTAACCACAGAGCATCTGAAAGCAGCTGCATTAAGCTCCTAAATGTTCATTTTTAAAAAATTTTTAATTAAAATCCTCCTCTGGGAACAACGTAAAGAAACATTTGGTGCCAGAAGGAATTTGTTTTGCTGGAGCTGAGTTTTCAGATTGCATGCATGGGGTATCCCCGAGCCGGAGGGGGAAACACTAAATCCCAGGGAGCGGGCAGCGCGGCACATGAACTCGTGTTGCAGAAGCAGCAGAGTTGTGAAACGGCCTCAGCGCAGCTCCGGGGGGGCTGGTAGGAGGGGGAAGCCCTGGGAGTGAGTGGCCATCATGGTCCCTCCATCTCCATCCTTCCCTTCCAGCTCCTTCGGATGTTCTTCCGACAGCAGGATGAGATCCGACGGCTGAAAGACGAGCTTGCGCAGAAAGACATACGGATCCGGCAGCTACAGCTGGAGTTAAAGAACTTACGTAACAGCCCGAAGACCAATTAACTTCCAGGGACGTTTTATAAATAAACTTTCTTTGGTTATACTCGGTCTTTAATTTTATTGTATCCACTTACACAGAATATGAGCCAGAAGTCAAGTGACCTGCCAAGAGCCCACTCGCTAACTGGAAATTCGTCCTCCTAGTCTTGTCTAGCACTAAAACGGCCGTAACCGACAGCTACCGCGTGACTCCCGCGTGAGGAGGCGGCGGGGGGGCCCGCCTGCCCCAGCCCTGGTCTTGGAGTAAGTAAAGAGCAGCATCCCCTCCGTCGGGATGAACCGGCACCGGGGAGCCGAGGCGGCGGCGACTCCCCGGGAAAGCGCGATGCTTCGTTGCTATTAATTTCATTTTTTTTTTCCTATGCAAAACTGTGACAGAGGGTGCAGAACTGGAAGGGGGTGTGGGAGGGGTTTAATTCTGTCTGATGCCATGGCAGGAGCCCAGGGCCCTTCCCACGGCGGTGGGCCTAGGGCACGGCCGGGCTTTGGCAGGAGCATCCTGAGTTTCCCTGGCTGCAGCCTGGGGAAGGCGCTTGCTCCACGTGTGTGCGTGCATCCCGGCACGTGGACCTATATCCTTTAGGAAAAATCAAAAGGAGGCTGGGTTTCCTAACTGGAGAGGGATTTTTGCTCCCTCTGCCTCTGCAAAGAGGGACTCACCCTCCTGCTTTCCAGGGGGCTACACACCAGTGCCATGGGGAGGAGGGAAGGATGGCACCCGGCTTGCCCCGAGGCTCCCTGGGCTGGAGAGGTTCAGCACGTGTGTACAATCAGGCTATTTTGTGGATTAGACCTGTAGCGCAGGGAACATCACCAAATACTGCTGGTTTACCTATATATAT